AGCGAGCTTTACACCACTCCAGCCAACGCTTGGCATTTCACATGGGGATCTTAGGCTTGTGTGCAGCTGCTCGGAAACCCATTTCATGAAGCTTCCGACGAACAGTTCTTGTGCTGACGTTGCTTCCAGAGGCAGTTTGGAACTCGGTAGTGAGTGTTGCAACCGAGGACAGATGATTTTTACGCGCTACGCGCTTCAGCACTCGCCGGTCCCCTTCTGTGAGCTTGTGTGACCTACCACTTCACAGCTGAGCTGTTGTTGCTCCTAGACGTTTCCACTTCACAATAACAGCTTTTACAGTTGACCGGGGCAGCTCTAGCAGGGCAGAAATTTGATGAACTGACTTGTTGGAAAGGTGGCATCCTATGATGGTGCCACGTTGAAAGTAACAAGGCCATTCTACTGCCAATGTTTGTCAATGGATTGCATGGCTGTGTGCTCGATTTTATACACCTGTCAGCAACGGGTGTGGCTGAAATAGCCGAATCCACTAATTTGAAGGGGTGTCCACATACTATTGTGTATATATAGTTTATCTGTGTGATTGCGTGGAGTATGTGATTGAAGCCTTGCAGTGTAGTGTAGTAGAGGAATCCTAATGTTCGTAGCAGACACAGAGGCAGCGCAGCAGAGAGAACATGTGGCTGCTGGGTGCAGACGTTGTGGCCAGGCATGGTGGTCCTCCCAGTCCCAGTGTCTGTCTCTCACTCTCTCTCTGCTGCTCGAGACATCCTAGAGACTCAACTGCTCTCTCTCGCTCTCTCTCTCTCTCTCTCTCTGTGTCTGTGTATGCTGCTCAAGACATTCTAGAGCAGGGGTGTCAAACGTCCGGCCCACGGGCCGGATCAGGCCCGCAAACGGGTTTAATCCGGCCCGCGAGATGATAAAAAAAAAAAAGGTAGAATAATTTTGTAAAGTATAAAAATGCGCTGCAATTTTTCAATAAAATAAACTGCTGTTCCAATTGCGTCCACTGGATGGCGCAATAGCAATTGTGTTAAGCAAGCAAACTGTTTATACCGGGGCAGAGCAAGTAGGTCAAGCACGTGCAGCCAATGAGCTACTTTGTTTTGCCCGCGATATTTATTACGGCTTCTACTTTTAACATTATGTGCTTTGGCATCCTCATTGCCCCAATATGTCTCTGTCAAAAAAGAGAAAAGTGGACGCAGAGTGCAGAGTGTTCCAAGAAAAATTGTCATCCTATTTATGCTGAAAGAATATAACCTTCGTCGCCACTATGTGAGTCTTCATGCCGACAAATATGACAACTTTCAAGGACAGCGGAGATGAGAGAAGGTGAATGAACTGTTGGCGGGTCTGAAGAAACAGCAGTCTGTGTTTACTCACAGCCGAGACATCAGTGACGCTGCAGTGAAAGCTAGCTACCTCATTGCTAATGAAATCGCAGTGGCTTCAAAACCATTTAGTGAGGGTGAATTTGTAAAAACATGCATGATGAAGGCAGCGGAGATTGTGTGCCCTGAAAAGCGGCAGGCTTTTGCAAATATCAGCCTGACAAGAAACACAGTTGCAGACAGGATTTCCGATCTTTCAGTGGATTTGGACAGCCAGTTGAAGCAAAAAGTAAAGTCATTTATTGCGTTTTCGGTTGCAATTGATGAAAGCACGGACATTACAGATGTTGCACAACTGGCCATTTTCATCCGTGGAGTTGATGACACATTGACCGTCACCGAGGAGTTCGTGGAGTTGGTGCCGATGACAGATACAACGACAACAGCTGATATTTTTACCGCACTCGTCGGCGCGCTGGACAGGGTCGGAGTGGACTGGTCCCGCGCTGTCAGCCTGGCTACAGATGGTGCGCCCTCAATGACAAAGTTCAGAGAGAAAGTGCAATCTGCAAATGGAGGACGTGATTTTTTGACTTTTCACTGTATTTTGCACCAGGAGGCTTTGTGTTGCAAGTCATTAAAGATGGATAACGTCATGAAGGTGGTCATCCAAACTGTTAATTTCATCCGATCCAGAAGCCTGAATCACCGTCAGTTTGACAGCCTTCTCAGAGAGAAAGACCACATCTATGGCCTGCCATACCACACTGAGGTAAGATGGTTAAGCCGAGGTGCTGTGCTGAGGCGTTTCTTTGATTTACGAGAAGAAATTGAACAGTTCATGGAAGAAAAGGGCAAACCAGTGTTAGAATTTCATTCTGCAGAATGGATGCAGGACCTTGCATTTATGGTGGATGTTACAGAGCACCTGAATAACTTGAACAAACAGCTGCAAGGGCGCAACAAAGTTGTCACGCAGTATTATGACAGCATACGTTCTTTCAAGTTGAAGCTGTCATTGTGGGAGACGCAACTTGCCGGTGGTGATGCAGCTCACTTCCCCTGTCTGAAAAATGTGTGCGCGACCCAACATGTGGCAGACATGAAGCGGTTCAAAGATAAAATAACGGGACTGTTACGGGAGTTTGAGCAACGCTTTCAGATTTATGTTTATATGTTTTTATGTTGATGTGCTATTGTTTTTATTTTATTTGTATATTTAACCTATTCTTGACTCTGTGGTTCTTGCACTTGTTTGGGGAACAGGATTTCATAATTTTTATCTACATTTCTGCCTGAGAAATGACACCCTGATATAGTTCTGTGATCTGTGATATACTTCTGTGAATCACTGAGGCATTGTGTGTTTGTGTGTTCTTTGTCCTCAGAACTTTCAAATAACTTGAGGTGTTTTATGATTAATAGTGATGTTGTGCTTTTGGACACTGTCCTCAGGCTCCAGCTTTATGTTTATATGTTTTTATGTTGATGTGCTATTGTTTTTAATTGATTTTATTTTATTTGTATATTTATCCTATTCCTGACTCTGTGGTTCTTGCACTTGTTTGGGGAACAGGATTTCATTATTTTTATCTACATTTCTGCCTGAGAAATGACACCCTGATATAGTTATGTGATCTGTGAAACAGTTCTGTTAATCACTGAGGCATTGTGTGTTTGTGTGTTCTTTTTCTTTAGAATTTTCAAATAAACTTGACGTGTTTTATGATTAATAGTGATGTTGTGCTTGTACTATTTTGGACACACTGTCCTCAGGCTCCAGCTTTATGTTGTATGTTGATCGTATTAAAACAAAGAAAACAATCTGAAGTTGTTGTTTTTAAGTTATATATACCATGACTTTTCCGGTCCGGCCCACTTGGGAATAGATTTTTCTCCATGTGGCCCCTGAGCTAAAATGAGTATTCACCTCAGTGATAAGTAGAGGCCTGCTCTGAAACCCATCATGACCTACTTCCTGGTGTGTTCTCTCTACATAGAAACGAGCACACAGGACAAGACACCAGCGCCTGAAGAGGAGATAGGAGAAAGGATGTTCGGGGGACTGAGAAGATGAGGGAAAAGGGTGATGGGAGGGGAAGTTGGGGGTTTAGGGGAGGGGGTAGGGGTGTGTCCCACTGTTGGAAACAGCGACATCCTCCTCTGCCTGTCTGCAAGTGGAGTGGAGCGAAGTGGAGTAGAGGGCGAGAGCAGAGAGAGAGTTGCCAGGCTTGCGCTGGCCTGTCAATAGGACAGAGTCCCCATCACATACAGCAGCAGCAGAGGCATGAGAGGCAGACCCCAGTGCTTGGCACCAGGCGGGAGACTCCTGTTTATCTAGGCGTTCCTCCCTCCCTACTGCCACTCTCTTCCTGCTGCTGGGAGGAGAAGGGGGGTGGAGGGGAGGAGAGGGAGGGAGGGGAAGAGGGATGCAAGGCGCACACCTTACCTCTCTCTCTCTCTCCCTCTCTCTCCCTCTGCACACACATCTCCACAGCAGCACCATCACTACACCACCCACTCTGACCCGGCATCACACAGCTCGGCGGCCCCTGGACTGCAGTTAGGTGAGTGGGTAAATATTTACACTCCTCCAGCCTGTCTGTGTGTGTAAAAGTGTGTGTGTATAATGTGTGTGTGTGTGTGTTCATAAGTGATTCTGTGTGGGTGTCTGCCGTGAAGCATGTTTTGTGACGTGGTAGTCGAGCCAATGAGACTCGTCTCCTGTTCCTGACCAAAACAAATCTCTGTGTGTGTGTGTGGTTGTGAATGTGTTTGTGGTTGTGAATGTGTGTGTGGTTGTGTGTGTGTGTGCTGATGGAGAGTTCTCTGCTGCTGTGGGAGAGACTGATTAGAGGGAGGCTCAGTTTCAAGTTCTGAAACCACAATGAAAAGTGATTTGAACAATAAACTATATAATGTGTTATAGCATACTAAATGCATTAGTTTTGATGATGTCAGGTATTTCAGCCATTTCTATGTCATAGGTATGCAGTTAAATGTGTGAAGATGATCAAATCTTGTTCTCAGTGAGGCAACTGCAGCAGAATTAGGATGTTGAGTAGAAATGTACACAAATTATTACTCAATGATTGTGGAATCAATACAGTAAAAAGCACCAGTCCAAGATAGTCAGTGTACATTCTGTAATTATTATTTCTTAAACAATAGCGAAATTAAGGGAATTGCTTGTAGTTAAGAGTGGGGATTGTAGAGATTGCAGAATTATGGACAGCTTCTTTCTTACATTTAACATTTGAGTCATTTAGCAGACGCTCTTATCCAGAGCGACTTAAGCTAGCTAGTGACACAAAGTTACCCTGGTAAAGGAGAAATCCCCACCAGCTGCTCTGAGAATGGTAGGCTCAGCTGTTTGAAAGTGCCTCAGTGTGAAGGAGAAGGATTTGGTAGCTAGACCATTACTGACAAAGGACACATCAATTATTGTTATGGTCACTGAGGAAAAGCAATGCACGCAGAATGAGGCGTGGAACAAACTACTGGAAGTTCAACAAAGACAGACCACATGCACTCTCTCTCCACTCCAAAACGTGAGTGACCTCTAATTAATTTCTCTCAGCCTCTGTGTGTCTGTCTGCCTGCGCTCCTCTCTCTGCACTTGGTGTAAGCAGAGCGAGGTCGAGGACTTGTGGAGAGCAGAGGACAATTGAGTGGGAGCAACATACATTTTCCACTTCACATATGAACGTGAGAAGGCTGCTAAGAAAGGAGGTAGGAGGAAAGGAGGAGGAAGGAGCACCAGTCTGGTTAAACAGCTCCTCCAGAAAGGATGAGTCTGCCTGGGCCTTCCGTCCAGACCAGACAGCCCCAGCTCCCCACAGCCTCCCCAGGGACAGCCTGCTGTCTGTCTGCTGCCAACAAAGGAAAAACACCCCTCCTCCTGTGAGCGGGGGGCACCAGGAGGACAGAGGAGGGGGAGAGGGGGACGCGGGGGGGTGTGGCTATGGGGAGACGCACAGGGCTGTGTTTACTCTTCCTGTGGCCCTGGGAAGCCGAGAGAGAGAGAGAGAAGAGAGAGAGGAGAGGAGAGAGAGAGAGAGAGAGAGAGAGGAGAGAGAGAGAGAGAGAGAGAGAGAGAGAGAGAGAGAGATCAGCTCTAGAGATAGATCTAGCTATCCTACTATCTATTCTCGCTACGCTTCTCCTCTCTCTCTCCAGTCTCTCCTTAAGATACGCTCTTATGACATTAACTCCCGGTGTTCCAGCGGGTAGTTTAAGACACCTGTCACAAATATATAGTACCATAAAAAGCCACACTGCAAACAGGGCTAGACGATCTGTTTGCTTATTTTAAGAAGCCTACCTAACTGGAGTTGTGGGGCTGATGAGGAGGAGAGGCGGGACAGGGGGGATGTGCAAGGGGGCCTTTCCTAGAATCGGTGCGTGTCTGGATGTGTGTGTGTCACTGGTGTGTGTACTTGCATGAATGTGTGTGTTTGTTTGTGTTACCTTACAGTAAGCACCCGGGCCAGCCGCTGCATTCACACTGAAGTGGAGGAAACAAAGGCCTACCTGTGTGGAAGCCTAGGCCTTGAGTTAGGAAACTTACCTTAGTCAATCCAGCACTGAGACTTGTTTAACTTTTACATGCTGCTTTCATGGTCCAAATCCTGTCTCCAACACCTGTGCTCACTCAACAGCCTGTCTGTGTCACCACCTGACTGCGTCAAGGTTTTATCCAAGTATACAGTGATTGCCAGTGCACTAAAATGTCTCAAGACATTTATGTTGAAGGCCACACGGGTCTGGCATGAATATGTTTCCTCTGAAACACCTGTAAGTGCTCTAATTTGGTCTATTTTACACGTTTGCGTGGACAGTCGACCCCTGATGTATGCAATAGCTAAGGACTGTTATAAAAGCATGTTTTGTACCTCAGCATACGGATATCTAGAGTAAGTAAAAATGTTGTGTTTAAATTGGGACTGGTGAACTTCTGTGAACCGAGTTTGCACTTATCCTATAGTGCATTGTGCCCTTGTTATGAGTCGACTGTATCAGATATACCAAGTCTTCATTGAGGATCTCTTTCGAAATCAAAGTGTTTTCCCACTCTGTTGGTCTGTACCTACAGATGTAGGATCTTTAATTTGAGGCAGTCTCCTACAGCAGGAAAATAAGGAAATTAGAATTATTATGTGTATTATAATTAATGGACATTTTGATGCATTTTTCGTAAGTGGAAATTACTAACTTTAGAAGCCTTTTTAAACCTCAAATATGTTTTAAATTTCCTGCATTGCAGGAAAGTTCTCCTGCAACAGGGTGATCAAATTAAGATCTTACATCTGTAGTTAACGTTTATGAGTGTGAGTCTTCAGCTCCTACTCTTCTGTCCCATTGAGGTCTCTCTGTATATTTTCTCTTGTCAGGATGCGGATCTGGTCATGGGAACAATGTGGGGAGACCAGCCTGGTGCTACTGGGGTTCCTCATCCTGGCTTTGTCTGTAGGGAACCTCTCAACCATGGGACAGGTCGCTCTCCACCGCTCTCTCTCTTCGTCTATGCATATGATGGCCCATCTCCGGCCTCTCGCTTATACGCACACACACACACACACACACACACACACCTCTATCACTGACCTAATATCAGTACATCAGTCACACTGTTTGTTTGTCTGTTTGTCTGTCTTTCTCTCTCTTTTTCTCTATTTGCCAGTTGTATCTCCCGAGTGGCGCAGTGGTCTAAGGCACTGCATCGCAGTGCTAGGTGTACCACTAGAGATCCTGGTTCGAATCCAGGCTCTGTCGTAGCTGGCCGTGACCGGGAGACCCATGGGGCGGCGCACAATTGGCCCAGCGTCGTCCAGGGTAGGGGAGGGAATGGCCAGCAGGGATGTAGCTCAGTTGGTAGAGCATGGCGTTTGCAACGCCAGGGTTGTGGGTTCGATTCCCACGGGGGGCCAGTATGATTAAAAAAAAAAAAAAATAAATAACAAAAAATTATATATTAAATAAATAAAATAATGTATGCACTCACTAACTGTAAGTCGCTCTGGATAAGAGCGTCTGCTAAATGACTAAAATGTAAATGTAATGTAAATATTCACTCACTCACTCCCTCACTTACTCACGCACTCTTTCTCCCTCTTTCTGTCCCTCTTGTCTCCTGACTGTTCCTTCTTACATGAGTTCTCTTATAAAAACCCACAGCTGTTTTCTCTCACACCTTTTACAAGGGAGCACAGAATATATCATTTGTCTCCACTTCACCCAGATTGGCAGAGTGGCTAGACATGCTTATAATTAGTCACAGTGTGTATAGGGCCCTGTTCTGCTGCTGTTCTCTAAGGGTGCTGTGTTGTGTCTAGGAGGAAGAGGCAGCCTCCAACAGTCTGGAGGATGACCTGGAGTCCACCACATACTGGTGGGGGGAGTGGGCCAAGTGGACTGCCTGCACCCGCACCTGTGGAGGGGGGGTCATGTCCCAGGAGAGGCACTGTCTCAAACAGAGGTCAGTCCGCTGACAGAAATATTCTATTCTATACTGTTCTGTTCTATTGTTATTCTGTTATATTCAATTATATTCTAACCTCTTATTTTCCATTCTATTATTTTCTACTCCATAAAGTTATTAATTTAGCAGATGTATTAAATTAATGTATTTTCTATCCAAAGAAAGAAAGCAGCCGCTGGTAGAGACAACATGACCTGCACTGGCACTTCAAAAAAATACCTCCTCTGTAATAACAAGGTTAGCATGCATCTATTACTGCCACCACTTTTCCTGCCGTTAGCAAAATGCATGTTGACACAACACCCCACAACCCAAACCATATGATGCAGAAGCCAATGTCGACAGCACAGCTCTTTTTATAATCAATTGAGATACAAATTGCTTAAAGGGGTAATCTGCAGGTATTACATATCTGGACTTATAAAGTAATGATATGTACCCATTGATTTTTGAGGAATATAACTTATAAATGCCTCATGAGCTTAGTTCAACTGTCGTACCCATCAGAACCCAAAATATACGATTGTTTTACTCCAATGTTTGTAAACAAAGTAAATGTAAACAAACACTGTCAGCCTATAGCCTCAAAATGATGAATACTGTCATCTATGAATATAGTCTATGAATTTGAGTGGTTACATTTTTCCAGCCCCATCCCTCAGCTTTTTACACTTTGTTATTGTTTCAACGGCGGATTGCCCCTTTAAGGTTTATTGCAGTGGCCATAAACCTTGGTCCTGAAGAGCTACAGGGTGCACAGGCTTTTGTTCCAGAGTTGTCACACCCTTTTATAACATATTGTAAAACAATTATAAAATACAAAATGCATGGAACAGACAGAAGAGTGTGTGTATATTTTCTGTCTTGTGCAGGACTGCCCTTCCTCTGGGAGAAGCTTCAGGGAAGAGCAGTGCTGGTCGTTCAACTCACAGGTCTACAATGGCAGGAACTACCACTGGAAACCCCTGTATCCAGGTAAAACAATCATATTAAACCGACTCAGCTCTGTGTCATTCCCTCCTGTGTGGCCTGTCCTCGAGGCTTGTTATTACACTGTGACCGCTGACCTTTGTGTCCATCCATCCATCCACAGATGACTATGTCCATATCTCCAGTAACCCATGTGACCTGCACTGCACCACGGCCGACGGCCAGAGACAGCTGATGGTTCCTGCTCGGGACGGAACATCCTGCAAGTACAGCAACTACAGAGGGGTCTGTGTGGACGGCAGATGTGAGGTCAGGGAACGTTTGTTTCTTCATCTGCCGAGGAAATGGCTTTGCATATTCTGTGAGAATGGCCGAAAGGCTTATTTTCCTGGTCACATGATAAAAGTGTATCAATACTTCTTCAACTGGCTTTGCATGTGCTGAAATGATTCAAGATGATAATCATCCTGTTTGTGTTAACATCATTTCTGCAGCCAATCGGGTGTGATGGAGTGCTCTTCTCACTCAATACGCTGGATAAGTGTGGAGTGTGTCAGGGGGATGGCAGCAGCTGCAGCAGGGTCAATGGAAACCTCCGCCGCGGGGCCACCAGTTTGGGTAGGAGTGTGTTCAACCTCAACCACAGACTCTGATAGCTTGGGTGTGTGGGTGGATGGATGGGTGGGCAAGGATAGAGGGTACTGATGGAGGAGTTATGGCTCTCGCATCTATTCCAAACCTTGAACACACCTATCTGGGACAAGCCCCCCAAATATGTCTCTGAAAGATAACTCTAGACAGTTTAGAGCTGAGACTGACAACAAGGTCGATGTGATTCTTTAGCCAACTCCTCTGATGTTCAGGCTATTTAGTTGCAGGTAAAATGGAGTCATCATAATGTTTCCTGTTTCCTGTCTCCAAGGTTACTCCTTTATCACAACAATCCCTGAGGGCTCCTGGGACATCCAGATCATTGAGAGGAAGAAGTCAGCTGATGTTTTGGGTGGGTACTTCCTGCTCCCTATGCCATGTATACAAACATTTCTAATGTCTCCTGTTGGTACGGTGTGATGTCATTAGGATCCATATAATGTTATGACAAGAGGAAGGTGCAAAACATTTTATTCAAGATTTTCAGCAAATACAAAGGATATTTTCTCCCCTGCAATGGGATAACTATTAATCTTGATAGTGGGACAGTGGGAAGTTAGTAAAGGAAGTACATTAATCAACTGAAATGAATCTGATCGTCTATATACTTTGATTTCCTTCTTGATCTCTTGAATTGACTGTATAGTATTAATTTATGGTCATGTATGGGGAGTAGAAATTCCAGTTTACAGTGAATATCAGAGATATGACCTTTCCATAGAGTCAACCAACTGGTCCTCCTCCAATGGTCCTCCATCCCCTCCAGGATAGAACATAGTCTCATATCTCCCACACAGCTGTGACCGATCAGGCGGGGAACTTCTTCTTCAATGGAAACTACAAGGTGGACAGCCCCCAGAACTTCCATGCGGCGGGTACCGTCTTCAAGTACCGGCGGCCCATGGATGTGTATGAGACGGGGATCGAGTACATTGTAGCCAAAGGGCCCATCAACCAGGCCATCAATGTTCTGGTACTGTATCCGGCTGTGGTCTGCTCTGTTCCACTCCTCTCGCCGAGCAGCCAGGGCCTCTGCGTAATCTCTAATTTAGAAGTAGTGTACACGTATCCAGTAACTTGCAGGTGCAGGGTACAACATCCCATGTCATTTCAACAAAAAAATTATATGTGATGAGGTTTAATCAACGTGGAAAACTGATTGGATTTGCAAAAAGTCATCAACGTAAGATAATTTCTTATTTTTTATGTGCAATTGACTGAGTTTGATAGGAGGGAGCAGGAGGGAATGGGTGCTATCTGTATCCCCCCCCCCCACCATTTTGTCTCCTCATAGGTGTGGAACCAGAATGGTCTTATCCCTTACATCACATACGAGTACACCATCCTGCGGGAGTCCCTGTCCCCAGTCCCTCAACCCCCTGTCTACACCGGCCCCGACAGCACCGCCCCTGGGGTTTCCGTGGAGATGGGCAGTATGGGGGCCCCCAACGGGAGCACGTATGACAAGGCGGCCCCTGAGACTCAGCAGAACCGGGTGTTGAAGAAGGGGGCCGAGATGGCAGGGGCCGAGGGCCAGAAGGGCCAGGAGACCAACGAGGTGTATGAGGAGACAGCAGCCATCGACTGTGACCAGGACAGCCCAACCCCACCACAATACACAGGTAACACCAATAAACTAGAAACCAATGCATCAATACAATAACTTTGTGAGTGTGAGTGAGAGAGTGTGAGTGTGAGTGAGAGACCCCCCTCAGGACTGTGTGCTATCGTTCTCTGTGGCTGATGTGAATAAGTTATTTAAGCATGTTACCCCACACCCTAGACCCACTACAATTCGCATATCGCCCCAACTCATCCACGGACTACACAATTGCCATTGCACTACACACTGCCATATCCCACCTGGACAAGATAAATACCTATGGAAGAATGCTGTTCATCGACTACAGCTCAGCCTTCAACACCATAGTGCCCTCCAAGCTCATCACTAAGCTCAGGGCCCTGGGACTAAACATACTGGTTTACTTACTTCATATGTATATACTGTATTCTAGTCAAGGCTCATCCTACAGTTGAAGTCGGAAGTTTACATACACTTAGGTTGGAGTCATTAAAACGTGTTTTTCAACCACTCCACAAATGTCTAGTTAACCAACTATAGTTTTGGCAAGTCGGTTAGGACATCTACTTTGTGCATGACACAAGTAATTTTTCCAACAATTGTTTACAGACAGATTATTTAACTTATAATTCACTGTATCACAATTCCAGTGGGTCAGAAGTTTACATACACTAAGTTGACTGTGCCTTTAAACAGCTTGGAAAATTCGGAAAAAAATGGCTTTAGAAGCTTCTGATAGGCTAATTTACATCATTTGAGTCAATTGGAGGTGTACCTGTGGATGTATTTCAAGGCCTACCTTGAAACGCAGTGCCTCTTTGCTTGACATTATGGGAAAATCAAAAGAAATCAGCCAAGACCTCAGAAAATATATTGTAGACCTCCACAAGTCTGGTTCATCCTTGGGAGCAATTTCCAAACGGCTGAAGGTACCACGTTCATCTGTACAAACAATAGTACGCAAGTATAAACACCATGGGACCACGCAGCCGTCATACCGCTCAGGAAGGAGACGCGTTCTGTCACCTAGAGATGAACATACTTTGGTGTGAAAACTGCAAATCAATCCCATAACAACAGCAAAGGACCTTGTGAAGATGCTGGAGGAAGCAGGTACAAAAGTATCTATATCCACAGTAAATCGAGTCCTATATCGACATAACCTGAAAGGCCCTCAGCAAGGAAGAAGCCACTACTCCAAAACCGCCTTAAAAAAGCCAGACTACGGTTTGCAACTGCACATGGGAACAAAGATCATACTTTCTGGAAAAAATGTCCTCTGGTCTGATGAAACAAAAATATAACTGTTTGGCCATAATGACCATCGTTATGTTTGGAGGAAAAAGGGGATTGCTTGCAAGCCGATGAACACCATCCCAACCGTGAAGCACGGGGGTGGCAGCATCATGCTGTGGGGGTGCTTTGCTGCAGGAGGGACTGGTGGACTTCACAAAATAGATGGCATCATGTGCCAAAATGGCTTAAGGACAACAAAGTCAAGGTATTGGAGTGGCCATCACAAAGGCCTGACCTCAATCCTATAGAACATTTGTGGACAGAACTGAAAAAGCGTGTGCGAGCGAGGAGGCCTACAAACCTGACTCAGTTACACCTCTCTTTTTATTTTATTTTTATTTATTTAACCTTTATTTAACCAGGAAGGGCTCATTGAGATTTAAAATCTCTTTTTCAAGAGCGTCCTGGCCAAGATAGGCAGCACCAAGTCATTACAAAAAAATTACAGACAGACAACATGAAAAACTACAAGTAATCTAGTAAAAACCATTCATGAATTCACAAGAGTATAACAATATCAAAAACAGCAAATTAAAAACATTGACAGGTCAGGGAATCAGCCTCAAAATCCTTCATCAGAGATTTAAAAACACCAATCGGGACAAGTTCTTCCAGTTTAAAATTATTTTGTAAGGTGTTCCAAGACGATGGCGCAGAGTACATAAAATACCTTTTACCAAATTCAGTTCGGACATTTGGAACAGTTAGCAGGATAAAGTCCAGTGAACGAAGAGAGTACCCACCACATTTCTGAACAATAAAAATGCCCAAATAAAAAGGTAGTAAACCCAAAATGGCTTTGTAAATAAAAGTATACCAGTGACTGAGCCTACGAGTGACTAGAGAAGGCCAGCCAACCCTGGTATACAAAGTACAGTGGTGCGTAAGGGTTTTGCAGTTTAAAATAAATCTCAAAGTACCATGATAAAGAGTGTCAATTGATCTCAAACACTGAGCGGAAGCATTCATATATAAAATATCCCCATAGTCTAGTAAAGGCATAAATGTAGCTGATACTAGCCTCCTTCTGGCTTCAAAAGAAAAACAGGCCTTATTCCTAAAATAAAATCCCAATTTCAGCTTCAATTTTTTTGTAAGTTGTTGAATATGCAATTTAAAAGAGAGGCCGTCATCAATTAGAATTCCAAGATATTTATATGAGGTTACAACCTCAATCTCCTTGCCCTGACAGGTAGTAACAGGTGAAAGGTTCAGAGGTCTATTTCTTGCATTAGAAAACACCATTAGTTTAGTTTTGTCAGTATTGAGGATAAGCTTCAATTGACACAAGGTATGTTGAACAGTATAAAAAGCAGTTTGCAAGTTCTGGAAAGCTTTTGTAAGAGATGAGGCACAACAGTAAATAACAGTATCATCAGCATAAAAATGAAGTTGTGCATTTTGGACATTTTTGTCTAAATCATTAATATAAATAGTGAATAAGAGAGGACCAAGTACAGAGCCCTGGGGCACACCATTCAGGACAGACAATTTAACAGACACAAGCCCATCAAATTGAGTGCACTGAGTTCTATCAGACAGATAGTTAGCAAACCATGCAACTGCATGCTCCGAAAGACCTACACTCAACAATCTCTGCCTTAGTATAGCATGATCAACTGTATCAAAAGCCTTAGAGAGATCAATAAAAAGTGAGACACAGTGCTGTTTTTTGTCAAGGGCTTCAGTGATATCATTTAAAACCTTCATGGCTGCTGTAATTGTGCTATGCTTCTTCCTGAAGCCCGATTGATACATTGATAAAATAGAGTTAGTAAATAAAAACTCTTTTAGCTGTTCACTTACAAGGGTTTCAAGTATTTTCACCAGGGGTGACAGCTTTGAGATTGGCCTATAATTATTTAAAAGAGTTGGATCTCCCCCTTTTAAAAGTGGTAGGACAAATGCTGACTTCCAGATCTTTGGAATTTCATTACATTCCAGGGTTAGATTGAACAGATATGTAAGTGGTTCAGCTATGAAATCAGCTGCCAGATTTAAAAAGCAGGGATCCAAAAGATCAGGACCTGCAGGCTTTCTTTGATCTAAGGATTTCAGGGCTTTATGTACCACCTGCACTGAGAATGGCAGAAAACTAAAAGTTTGACCAGCTCTCACTGGTTCATCCACACAGGGTTGTACAGAGACAGAGGACACTGGTTCATCCACACAGGGTTGTACAGAGACAGAGGACACTGAATCAAACAGCCTACCAGATGATACAAAGTGCTCATTGAAACAATTCAGCATTTCAGTTTTGTCATATATAGCAACAGAGTCCTTCAAAACACATGACGGTAATTCATTAACATTACTGTTACCAGACATAGCATTAATAGCACTCTGTCAGGAGGAGTGGGCCAAAATTCACCCAATTTATTGTGGGAAGCTTGTGGAAGGCTACCCAAAACGTTTGACCCAAGTTAAACAATTTAAAGGCAATGCTACCAAATACTAATTGAGTGTATGTGAACTTCTGACCCACTGGGAATGTGATTAAATAACTAAAAAGCTATTATTCTGACATTTCACATTCTTAAAATAAAGTGGTGATCCTAACTGACCTAAAACAGGGAATTTTTACTAGGATTAAATGTCAGGAATTGTGAAAAACTGATATTAATTGTATTTGGCTAAGGTGTATGTAAACTTCCGACTTCAACTGTATATAACTACTGCTGTACACACCTTTTCTATTCATATACTGTCCATACTGTTTATACACACCATTACATAATGGCGCCGGATGGGATGGCTGCCGTTTTAAGGGCTCCTAACCAACTGTGTTATTTTGTTAGTTTTTTCACATTGTTTGTAACTCATTTTGTACATATTATTGCTGCTACCGTCTCTTATGACCGAAAAGAGCTTATGGACATCAGAACAGCGATTACTCACCTCGAACTGGACAAAGATTTTTCCTTTAATGAGGCCGACGCGAAGGATATACGGCCCAAATCCCCGTCATAAGCGTGAAGATAAGAAGGAGGAAAAGGGGAAGGAGGGCAGGGTACCTTGTAAGAATTCGCAGACGAGTAGGTAAACCACTACTTTCCTCCGTATTATTGGCCAATGCGCAATCAATGGAAAACAAACTGGATGATCTACGATTAAGACTATCCTACCAACGGGACATTAAAAACTGTAATATCTTATGTTTCACCGAGACATGGCTGAACGACGACACGGATAATATAGAGCTGGCTGGCTTCTCCGTGTATCAGCAGGACAGAGCAGCTACGTCTGGTAAGATGAGGGCGGGGGTGTGTGTCTATTTGTCAATAACTGCTGGTGCCCAATGTCTAATATTAAAGAAGTCTTGAGGTATTGCTCGCCTTACCTCATAGTAAGGCGCAGACGAAGATGGCGGCCTCGCGACTAGCTCTTAGGAAACTTTGCAGTATTTTGTTTTTTTATGTATTATTTTTTACATTATTAACTCAGAAAGTGTTTTGCATCATTACATACAGCCGGGAAAAACTATTGGATATCAGAGCGACGGTAACTCACCAGCATTACGACCAGGAATACGACTTTCCCACAGCAGATCCTTTGTTTGCTCTCCCCAGGGCAACTGAATTGATTCCAGCGGCTGACCCAAAATATCGCCGGCGGAGGAGAGGCACTCGGAGCGGCCTGCTGGTTCAACTTAGGAAGCGTGCATACCACCCACTGCTTCCAAGTATCCTACTCGCTAATGTTCAATCTTTGGTTAACAAAGTCGACGACGTGCAAGGATTTCTTTCCAGAGAGACATCAAGGCCTGTAACATACTCTGTTTCACG